GAAGTGTTGTCATAGCCATTCCTGTACCATTCATCACCATCATAGAATGAAATGCCTACAGGAATGAACTGTCCCACACAAGGAAATACTGTCAACATCAGCAACAAAACTTCCATTCTTCAGATTCAGCAATATAAGAAACTTAACCCAGCTCGTGCTCATTAAAGGCTTACAAGTCTGGCTGTACCTGTCCCAGTAAATGGGCTCAGCATTGTTTCTACACCTCCAGTGACATAAAACAATGTTTCTTCACAGGTCTGAAATGATGAAGGCTAATTATTATTGCTAGGCAACTGGCTTATTGGAGCCTGAAGAATGCAGCTATAAACAGATTTAACTGCAGACATATTGCTGCTAACGTGATCATTGCATCCCTACCTGCATGAATATTTGAAGATATTTATCAAAACAGGAAGCTACCAAAAACAGAACTGTGCCAGTGCTTGAAGAAAAAGCTTTGAAGACATTAGGAATTGTACATTAATTACTTCAGAAGAAGAGGAAGGCATTCAGCACTGAGCCTGGGGCAGACATATTTGGAGCAATCCTAGCTGGCAAGAACAACCATCCCAGCCAACAACAAAGACCCAGTCAAAAACAAAGGAAGGATCTTTGCACATTTACCAACCTGCTCTTCTGACGACTGTATTCACTGTGCCATCTTGTGTGCAGCAATGATTACTGCACACAATAAATTATAAGATTCTGCATAGCCATGGCCTCCTGAATATTACTCAAATTTACCATCAAATTTGCTGGAGCAAAAGAAATATATCATTTATACACCCTTCATGCATTTTTTAACTCCCCTGAACCCCCCTTTATGTACAAATTTGCGCCCTGTATGACACCTTTCTTTGATCACACTGGGGTTTTCAACCAAGTTAGTTCCTGTTCTTTTACTTCACACTGCTCTCATGGGTTTCTGCTCTTTCTTTTAGAGACACAGTCTAACTACCAACGCAGAGACCTAATTTAGCCTTTTCCATAATTATATTCTTTTACTATGTGTCCACATATGAGGGCTACTGTCATTTTTGGTTATGATGCTTTTTTCACTAGTCATGTGAGAACACAGAAAAGGCAGACCTGGAGAAATTTAAGGAAAGATACAGAGGCAACTTGATGGAGTTCTTGTAAAAACCAGCCTCAGAGATGCAGTAAAGGTAAAATGAGATTAAAAAGAAAACAGAAGCATCTTTAGGAAGTAATTCTGTCTGCAGTAATGTTCCTTTTTCAGAGTGAAAAATGAACCAATGAACATGGCAGGCAAGGTTTCTTTATCTCTCCTCCTACTGTAGTTTTACTAGCCCTTGAAACTGCAGCACAGGAAATTAATAACCCTATTATTTTGGTCAAAGGCCAGTACTGAATAACATTTTACCTTTACTTTCACCCTCATCACCTTTAACACCCAACAATAATACAATCACCCTCACACAGAAATTCTTAACTTTCTTTTGCTGAAGTTCAGACATGACATTTTATTAACTATCAATGCTGCTCCTGATCAGATCAATGTTATCACTAAGAGATTAAGAAGATCAGAGACACTAATGGGACATTTCTGTAGAAAGAGTGGTTCTATCTTCATAGAAATTTGCATTACCTCCTAATAAATTTACGGTGATATTAGTGTATTTTAGCCTCTAAATGACTAAACTGCAGGGCAAATGTTTTGCTCCTTCCTGTAGGACAATTAGGAACTTCATTTGCAACTCTGAAAATACTCTTCTAGCCACAGCTATTGCTCCAGACCACCTTCACACACTGCTAAACGTATAACGTATGATTCAACTTCTGAGCTAAAATTTCATTAAAATAATAACAGAAATAGAATTGCACAGTCACCACAGGTATTTGTCACTGTAGTCAGAGACTACATTTGCTCTGTTTGGCAACTGTCATTTGCACTACTAAGTTTTATGAAGTAGTACGTGTGCTTTCACAATTATTTCCTAAAGACAATTCTCCAGGTTTAAGTAGTATTTTTAATATTTATGTTTTTGGATGCTCTAAAGCAATCCTTAAAAATAGTCAACTGCTCAAAATAATAAACTGTCCAAGACTGACAAGTGTACATGTCAGCATTTTCAAAGCCCTGTTTTCTTGCTAAGTCCTTTTTATTTGATACATTACCTACAATTTTGTATTTTATTATTTTCATAGGCAGCTATAAAATAGGTATAAAACGTGCCAATTTGGAAGATTTGTTTTGAAAGGCTTGAAAGCAAAGAAAATCTTTGTAACACAAAATCTCTTACTTGAAGTTATGCCAAAGTATGTCAAGATTACACCTGGCTTAAACATAAGGAGGTGCATAGTTTCTCTCGGAGCATGGCTTTTATTCTTGTTTTTTGAGTTTTGTTGCTTCTTCTTTAAGTACAGAAAAGAGAAAACAGGTAAAAAAGTGCAGAAAAAATGTCACAGCAACCAACCTCTTATACATATCCAGCAGTCCTCCTTTTTGTTGTGTTTAGAGAGCTCATCTTCAGTGACTTCAAGCAGCCTCCCTTTCAAACCAGTCAAGTCCTTCCCACTTTTAGTTAGCCGAATCCAATCCATAAGACTCCTTCCTGGTTTTAAAGGTACCTGAAAAATAACAAATATACAAACAACTTCAATCTCTAAAGGAAGAAAAAGCCATTCTAAGAATATACTTTTCTAAGCTCCATAGGAGGGCTCAGACAAAAACAAAAGATAAATAACCCAACTCATATTATTCACCAATATTTGGGAGCCCTACTCAGTAGAAAGGGTGCTTAAGGGAGTGTTCTGGGTAGTGACACAGAAATTACTGAACAGCAGCAAACATTCAGCTGACTCTTCCCAAAGCAAGCTGAAGACACCAAGTCTGCCTGTGGTGGCAAATCATTTGAGATACAGTCTGGAAAACTACGAGCAATAAAGAAAGGAAATTTAAAAATCATGGTCAGGTAAGACGAGTTTTGCCTTCACAGCATTCATTAAGACTTTTCACAAGCCCTACAGCAACTGGAAGCCTGACCCAGAGAAAGCCAGGACAGAACTAGTAGCTTTCCAGAGAAGTATTGCCATGGCCTGCCTGTCCTGAAAGGCAGAACAAGATCTTCAGGGTATCTAACACCTTCCTTTTCAACAGCACCTAGTGAGTAATAGAGACCCACTACATGTCTGTTTCTAAAACATACCGACTCGGTGAATCACAATTTACAACACCATGTTTGCAATTCCTTGCAGAAAGCACACCCATGCTGCAGAACCTTTATTTTCTGAGCACTTTCAAAGCATTCGAAGTAAACAAGTAAGACCACAGTTTGGGAACCCTTTTGATCCAAGCTTTAACAACAGGAAACAGGGTTAAAGAACTGTGCTCTTACAAAACCACAGGAAAAACAGAAGCAGAAAAACTGAAGCATACATAAACTAACATTTCTTAACGCTACTTTAGTCCAAGTCTGCTTTCCAAAAAAGGTCTCTAGACAACAAGTGTTCTCAACACCCCTCCAAAGATGAAGATCCAGCACATAAAGCATGAGCTGCACGCAGTAATTCCAAGGTGAAAGCCTCCATCGCGGCACAGCAGGCACAGCCGGGGCAGGAAGCGCCGGAAGCGCTGTCACCGCCGCCCTCTCTAACCAGAAGTACCAAGTGCTTTCCAGCGCCGCAGCAGAGCCGGGCCCTCGCCCGAGACCCGGCTGCTGGAGGGGGGCGGCCGGCAGCAGCCCTGCCCCAGCTGCAGCCGGGAACCGACCGGAGACCACCGCAGCTCGGCCGGGCGGGGCCAGGCCAGGCAGCCGCCGCAGCAGCGGCAAAACCGCGGGCCCGTTCACCTCCCCCCAAGCGACCAAGAGCGGCAGAGCCGCCCGTACCTTGCTGCGGGCACCCGCTGCCGCTCGCTGCTGGGAGCCGGGCGCGGGGAAGGCAGACGGCGGCACGTTGAGCATCGTGCCGGGCCGGGCCGCAGCCGGGCCCCCGCGGGCGGAGCGCTGGGACACAGTGCGCAGGCTCCGCCGCGGCGGGCGGGGCCGCGGCCCGGCCGGGAGCGGCGGCTTCGGCTCGGGGGCGGTGCGGGGGAGACCGGCCGAGAGCGGACATCGCTGTGGGCACGGAGCAGCGCGTACCCAGCCCGGGGGTGAGGGGGGTGCATGCCCCTGCACTAGGATTGGTTTTCCGTCCAGGGGTCCCAGCGCCGGCGCTTCGGCCGGGAGGCTGTGGCGGACATAGCCGGTGCAGCCCGCGCTCTGCAGGTTAAGTGTGGGCAGGCTCCAGGTGCGGGCCCGCTTCGATCCTGCTGCAGGGCCCGGGGAGCACGGGCAGAGCACTCCCTGGATGGTGCTGGCACACTGAGCCAGCGCGGCCTGCAGCTGCACACACAAGGCAAGGGCAGGTCCAGGTAACTACACAGGAGCTAGCTGACAGAGGCACTGACTGCCTTTAAATTAAAGCTTTGGATTTGTTCTGTTGTTCTTTTACGGGCTTTGGCCTTCATGATGATTGATACCCAACTTTGTTTCAATTATTAAAACCAAACTCACTATTATAACAACTCAGATCTGTTTCTTGATGTCCACTTTACAAACAAATGCAGAAACTATTACTTTTATGTATAAGAACACAGCACATATACATGAGAACACAAGTGATGTGAGGCAAACTCTTCTACACAACAAGAACTAGATTAGAATTTGGACTCTTCTCTCCATTTCAAAAACAGCTGTATTGTTTCTCTTCTCTATGTTTGAAACGGTTGTAACAGCAGGCACCACACAATTGGAATACTTAATCCAATGATTCCTTGATACACTTCCATGTGGAACCTACTAAATCTCAATGACAAGCTTTCCTTGTGTCCTCAGACTTTGAGAAAGTCACAACCACAGAGCCCTTCAAAATAAGGCATCTGTTCTCTGCTTGGTGTTCAGCTTACAATCTACAAACTATAGGACCTCAGACAGAAAAGTACTAATCAATACCTCCCCCACTTAAACCAGGACAGGAAAGGAACCAAGGAAAAAGGATAAAATTACAAGGCATCTCAGTTTTATTAAGAATAACTTACATAGAAATAAATTATCTTTAAAAATACTATAATACATATTTATATTAAGTTTAAATTAAGTCAGAAGTTGCTGCAGTCAGCAATCTGATTCTGTTCCTGAATCTTGTTCCAGTTGATCTTCATCATCTTCACTATCCGAGTCTTCATAAAAGGAAATTGTAGCCTGTACTGGGAAGTTTTTCAGAAGTGCTTCAGCTTCCTGATACAAGTAATCATAGCACCTTGATTTGGGCCAAAATAGTCTGAAACAAGTATACAATAGATTTGCTTATTGTTATTATATATTTCACATGGAGGGACACGCAAAAAAGCAAAGTGAAATTCTATTAAAACAAGCATCCTATAGAGCTTTTCCTTACATGCTCAATTGCTAAGTTGCTTTCTACATTCAATTAAGAAAAAAAAAATCTTATTTTCATCTGAAGAGAAAAAGATGATTTAGAGTGCGAGTTTTGCAGCAAAACTACGAAAGCCCAAGACTCTGCATCTGGAACTTCCCACTCCAGTACCTCATTAACTGTACTGCCCCTACTGGAACTATTCATAGGGAATATAATTGGCATCAAACAGGATAAAAAAAACATTTGAATCAAATTAGTAGTTTTCTTACTGAAGGTCCCCAGCCTAGGTAGTTGTTGATACTTGTTTCACACCATTGTAAAATTCAAAGGAATTATAAAAGTCTAGGGGTGATCAGACCTTGGTATTTCATCTGTCTTTCCAAAAACAATCTACAGGCTCCATAAGGAAGATGTCCCATGGATGTAGATTTTAAAGCAGTCTGTGTTGTATTCAGAAATTAACAAAATATGCTGATAAAATCACAGTTAGCATGGGCTATCAGCTAATGACAATATATTGCAATTGATATACTCCAAATTCCTGTTCCATTTCAACTAGTGTCCTCTTTTGCTTACAGTTTGGAATTAGCTAGAAGGAATAGACCAAGGAAGTCCCAAGAGCCAAGAGACTAGCACACTACAACATAATGAAATGCTGACTAGAGGTTGTTTAAAATAGAAATGCATGAAGAAACAGAATCAGACAGCTTTCTAGCAATTACAAGAAATACTTTTTAGGCTGCTGTTTAACAGAACACTGCTTCCTTGGCAGAACAAAGTCACTGACATGGGCTTTGTAACAGGTCGCCATTCCCAATGTTCCCAGCATTCACTCAAACCTAAGCATTGGAGCAGTCATAGTGAAGTCTGCCCGTACAGTTGCTTAGCTAGTGCATCACTATTTGAAGGATGAGAGCCTAGATTTGAAAGAAACCCACTTCTTGTCTGGAAAAACTACCTGTGCAATTATTTTAAGCATCTTGCAAAACCTAGCAGCATTTCTGAATACAGATTCAACTGCTGTTATTTTCTTTTATTTCCTTTTCAGAACTGACAGTGCAGATACTATCATTGCCTTTATCGTTAAAGCAGCAGTTACACAAGTATTTTCCTCGGCAATGGTGGCTTAGCCAGTGCATACCTTCTCTTCCAGCCACTCTCTCCCACGCCTCCACCTGCTTCTTTGCTGTGGGAGGGCGCTGAATGTTTGCGCAGCAGCACAGCCTAGGAACTACAGCCCCCGTGCCTTTTTTAATCGTGGGCACGGGAATGAGTAACAGGGTGCTTCAGCCAGCTCCACTACCACCAAAAAACACCCACATAACTGTGTAATACGTCTTAAGTCTCAAACCACAGAGGCACATCAACAACTGAAATATATTAAATACACAAATCCTGGCAATCATTTGCCCAAGGATCTGTCAGTAAAAAAACACGTAGACGGCCAATTCATTCCCAAGGCGCTTTAATATCTACATAAATACATGGGTGGAAACAAAAGGGGCGGGAGAGCTAATGCTACGACACTACACTGGCGAGCAAGGGACTCTCTCCTGGCCGCACAGTGCCAGGGGCGCCTGGCGCCCCGAGGGCCCCACGAGAACCGGCGGGGCCGGGCACTGCCGCTTACCTGACGGGGTGCGTGTACTGCGCCAGCTTTCGGGAGGCTCCCGCCAGCCCGCCGGGGCTGTGAGGCTGCGGAGGAGAGAGCAGAGGTCAGCCCGCCGGCACGGCACAGGGCCCTCCCCGAGCATCCCCGCCCGCCGAGTGCGCTAGATGCTCCGCCACGCCGCTCCCCACTCACCGCGGCGGGGCCGGGGCTCCGCCGGGCCGCCTCAGCCGGCGCGGGCACCCACGGTCTCCAGAAGGGCGCAGGGCTGCGGGGCGAGGGCAGGGCCGTCAGCGCAGGACCGGGCCGTCCCCCGCACCGGGAGGAGCAGAGGGGCGAGTAGCCCTGCGGGGGCAGCACCGCCAAGAGCGGGCGGGGGCAGCCGCCCTCCATCCTCCGCCGGTGCGCGGCCGCTCGCTTATCGCCGCCGCCCGAGGGCCCGGAGGCTTTTATAGCCCCCGGCGGGCGCTGCGCGGCGCGGAGCCCCCACCTCCCCCGGCTCATCTGCCAGCGCCATCCGCAGAAAGGCCCCGCGCGAAGGCACCGCCTTGTAAACACGGGGCGCGGGCATGCCCCAAATGGCCCGGGGAGGGGAAGCGGGCGTAGGGGGGATTTGGCGAGTCGGTGTTAATCGCACTCGAGCAGACACATGGCAGCTGCCCGGGGGCGGGCGGGGACAGCCCTGTGGGAACCGAGCGGGGGGCGGCGGCACTGGGGATACGCCCGGCCGCTCTGCGCCCCGGCGCTGGGGTCCGTCCCCCGCCACCGCGGCCTTGTGTTGTTCTAGCCGTGTTTGTTTATGCCCCGGAGCGGCGAGTCCGAGTCACGGCGTGTGGGCACCGCGGATGGCAGGCACGGACACACGGACCCCATCCCCGGGTGGCGGGGGACATGACGCCCTTCGGAGGGGTTCTTACTCAATAACGCGTCAGACTCAGTGCGCTCCCTGACGTGTTCCCCCCCAGGCAACGGTGGTGGCTCTTTTTATATATTTGTATCTAAATATATGCGCACACACACACCTTTTTTTAATAGGCTATTTTTACCGTGCCTGCCTTAATTCCTTTTTTTTGTGGTCCAATACTTTGTTCCGCTGCCAGCACTGGATGCTGTCACTACACGTGCAAGGTTTTACATGGAGCTCCTGCCGTTTCCATGTTCCCTGGTACAAAGGGAGTTTACTTTTCTTTCTATTTTTATTTATTATTCTTGTTTCCCCTTTTCTTTCTGAGGTTGCAATCAGTGATGCATGTGAGAGGAGCAGAAACAAGTTACATAAGAGCTGGTAAACAGTAATAATATCAGCCTTAAGGACTAGGAGGGTTGGTGGGATGGAGCTGTCCTAGATGCTGAAGGAGGGCTTAAACCCCAGGTAATTTATTGTCCCATTAAATACCCACATTACTGTTTGGAATAGTATTTTGCCTCCTCGAGTTTGTCTGAGGCATAAGGAATGTGTCTACCTTAGCATTGCCCAAGAGTAACTGCAAGTAGCTGCTGCTCTAAAAAAAGTAGCTACAGGCTTGTGCCTTCCCCACATCACCTTCAGCACAATCCATTTCACTAAATAGTACCAGCAGTACCAGTTGTAAAAATTGTTACATGTTAGAAGCTGTGTGGGAAATGTAATCAGGGTAATCTTTCACATCCTAAAGTCAAAACCAGATGTAGACCAACTTGCCTTTCTGAAGGAAAGCAACCACTTATGTTGAACAAGAAATAGTTGGAAGAATGCACACATTCAAGCTTGTGTGTGCTGTGATACATTCCAATTTTATCAGTGGACATACTCTGTTATTTTGGAGATTTGTGCCATTTGGCCACTTGGAAAAATTGATAATTATGACTTTAAGAGTTAATAAAGGAAAAGGTATTTTCCAGTGAAAATCCAATTTAGTAGGACATGATGTTTGTAGCCCTTTGTGTTTTTCCTTGCCTCGTTTTCACTTTGGCCTAGAATGAGATTCATTAAAATCAGTGAACAAAAGACTCAAACTACAATTCATATTCATCTCACAGCTAAGAAATAGAGAATAGAGCAAAGTATAGTAACTCGTGCAATAAACCAAATGTGATCATAAGCAAAACTGTTTCTACATTTTTTTCCAAATAGCTACCAAGAAGCTTGTCAATGAGGTAAAGCATAAAAGAAATATTTAAAAGCTCTCTGGTACTAGATTCTTCCTTGGCTTAAATGAAGTGAAAGCAGTGATTTTTATATTTCACATTTCTCCTTTGAGAAGTTTAACACAAGCTATGTAAGGGAAAGGAAGAGGCAAAGTTCATTGTCTAAAGAAGAAAAGCAGAAACATCCTCCATCGCATTAGTAGTGACAAAGGGCTAGAAGAACACAACATCAGCTTTATCTGTTTGGTAAAGCATAAAAATTAATTTTAATGTCTACAGTGAAAGCAACAAAAGATGAGGTGTCTTTGACCAATGACTTTTAATTGTCTCAGGATTCTTTTTAGTACCTGCCTGAAATGAGAAAATATCCTAGGGAGATAGTGTGATTTACCCATTAGAGAGCAAATTGAAATAGAGGTGTTGAAAGGATAAGGAGAAAATAATGACTAACAGCTGTTGTTCCCCTGCATATTTTCACACTGTGTCAGTCTTCTTGGCTTTTCAGTTCAGTAATGCAGTCCTGTTTGTTGAAAAATACAGAAGTCTGTCATTGCAATAATAACTTGTTATCATTGACATCATAAAAAAAACCAAATAAAAAACAACAAGAAGAAAAAACAAAAACACCACCAACAAAAAAAACCCCAAATCCTTAACATTTTGATATCTTCCCATTGACCTTGAAATACAGGCTGGAAACTGGTAAATCAGGGATAGAAGATGCTTTGTCATGTTTGTCTTTTCTACAATTTGTGCATTGTGTAGTAACAGTGCATTGTTCGTTGTTTCATCATGCTAAAATCTCTTCAGGTAGGAGCTACATAACCACTGCTGAAAAATAGTAGGTGTAATGGGAGTGATGGAATACTCTTTAAACTGGTTCTTTTAATACAGTAGTGGAATACATAGCTCTGAATTCAACATGAAGTCCAATAGAGGCAGTTCCCTCATGCATTCTTGACCCATCTAACTAAAGCAATATTTCTCATTGTCTGCCTTAGTTCCTGCTTTTTTGTATTTCCACTTTTTTAAAAAAGTACAAGTCCTGAGTTTAGGTTGTACATACATAACTAGACTGCCTCTAGGAAAGGAACGCTGCTAATCAGGATCTAATACACTGTGCTTTATTATACTGGAATGAAAACTGAAAAATTGTGGTTTATGGTCTTATTTACTCTTGTGCAATAATGAAAATACCTGTGCTTTTTGAAAATTTCTCTCAAGGTCATAGATTTAAAAGATTTCCTTATACCATTTTCCAAGCAGATCATAGCCAGTCATTTACAGGGTTCAATCCTGCTTAGCCATATGTTGATTTTTATAGGAATTTTTGTACAAAATTGCAATTGAAGAATTTCAAATGAAGTACAAAAATTCTTGTACAGTGATTCTTCTACCAGAATTATACCAAGTAGTATTTTTCCAGAATGAAAGTAATTTTTAAAAATTTGGTTTAAATTGATTAAAAGTGATTTTGTGGCTTTCTGCAGTGTGACATCTTGAAATGTAGTGCACTGTTAATAGGATATACAGAAAAGCAAACACAGAGATCTGTGCAGATTTCAGTGTGCTACTATAAACAAGAAGGTGTTCACAAATGGCTTAGAGCTAAATTTGACAAGACAGTGCTAATCACACTGGGCATGGGAATATCTGGACAGAGGACAGTCAGCTGGCTTCACATGCACCTCCCTTAAGGCAGAAATACCTCTCACTTATGAGTAAAGCAGGGACATTTAATGAAAATTATTGCATGAGTAGATATAGGGAGAGAATTGGCTTGATCTAGTCAGAAATTTGTTTTAGTGACAAAAGCAAGGTCAAACACATGGAACTGTTCTTCTGCTTCCCCTGACTGAACTGAGAAAACTGATTAACAGACAAAATTTGATCTTGATTATTTTATAGCCTAGCTTCATCTTGATGCTTCCACTTTTAGCAGCACTTTAGGACCAGGTTTTGAAATTAAGTCTATGCCTGATATTTGCATATAGGTATTGACTGTACATACATATGTCATTTGTTTATGTGTTTGGTCTGTTAGCTCATAAATTGATATATTTTTTCTCACTAAAAGCAAAGTTCACACAGGAAATTTGTGAACAACTTTGGTAGATGTTCATCTGTATGCAATAACAATTTACTGAAAACTTTGCAGTGGTGTCTTATGAGGCTTTAAGCATTTTTTAGCTGTGATATGACACAAAGGGCATTCTTTCTGCTATAGTTTGAAAATAAAACATCAATTTGCAAAGCAAAAAGACCACCACAGATCTGTTTACCAACCTTTGTCCTTACCACTATTTGGATTTGATACAGTATTTTCAATAGGCCTAATGTACCTGAAAGTGGGCTTCATTCAGCATTTTCACAAAATGATTTATTTTTGTCAATAAATAATATGATATCCAAACTACACTCCAAGAAATAAAATAAATACAAATTAACATTTTTATTAAAAAAAAAAAGGATCACAACTAAGTCAGCAGACCAGTCTATTCACATTACCAGTGTTACCAATGGCTATAAAATGATTGCTTGGTTAATAAAGGTGGTGCTTGTCCTATTGCTGGTATGTATTTTTTCCATCCTATTTATATAAAAAAACACAGTATATAATCAAACAGAGTCATTCCACTTAAACCAAAGCGCCTGGTGATTCCCACAGAGGTGTATGTTGGAGATCTAAAGATGAAATCCTCTTTCATGGACATATCCATCCCACTTCTCCTCATTTCACTGGATTTTGACTAGATTGTAGTAGTATTAAACATCATTCTTTCATTTTATGCAGAAAATTATTCTCCCCCTCCTCTATTTAACTGAAACACCAGAAAGAAACCTTTGTTAAAAGGAAGGATGCAATTCCAAGAAAGGATGTCTTTTCACCCTCTTTTTGCTATTGGGAACCAGCTCCTGGTAATTCAGGAGTGAATGGCCTCACTTGAAGGGGCACAGCTCTACATTTCCCTCTGCCAATGAGACTGAAACCCTCCAACTTCCTTGGGTTTATGCCAGAGCTGGTGCTGTTACAGACTTTGTGCTGGGGCGCTGGGGTGGTCGCTGCAGTCTGCGGGAGGATGAGCAATGTGCTGTGTGCGTTCATGGCACACGTGCGAGCCCCGCGTGTCCAAGAGGCAAAGTGTGACTGCACACAGCACCTTGGGCGTCCTCCTTTCCCTCCCCCTCTGCTCTCCGCTCCCAGGCCCAGGCTGGCAAATGGTAAAGGATAATGTATCCACATGGGAAAGCAGCACATTAAGGGACTGAGAATGTGTAATGGAATCAGCCACCAGTTACAGGGATCTTTTAAAAAAATAGGAGTATCACTTGCTATTGAGTTATGGGCACTTTAAATTCCATGCAGATAAGAAACAGAGACGTCAGTGCTGAACACCAATCTTGTTAACCTCTTTTAATAGAATAGGAGTCGGTGAAACACTGATACATCATTGATGCCAGGGCTCAGCAGAAGTGTCTGGCTGGCTCAGCATAATGCAGCATAATGTCACAGTGTTTGCTGCAGTTGGAGCACAGAGTGCTGCAGTGTGGCACTGGCAGGATTTGCCCTCTTGCCTCTGGAAATAAGTGAGAAGCAGCCAAATGAAATGAAGTCAACAGCTATTGACAGAAGAGATGAAGAAATTAAGATAATCATTGGAATGTCCTGATCTGACCCCTCTGGTAATACAGTCCCTAGCAATGTCATCTCCTCTCTCACAGTGTTCCATTCAATTAACTGTTTCTTCAGATATATTGCTTTCCTAGCTACAAAGATAGCGATGGAAGCAGAGTGGTTGTTTTTCAATTTCCCTTGTCTCTCCAAGCTATCAGCACAGCATCAACTCTCCCTAAAGATGCATGCCACTAAGCATGATGTATATAATGCAGAGTGATGTATATAATGGAGCATTTAACCTCTGTCAGGAGGGAATGAATTGCAAGAAACAGAGCTGTACCTCTGAGAAGCAAGCACCTGAGAAAGGCAATGTGAGTCCTGAAGATAAGCAGTGCCAGCCGGAGGCGCACACTCGGTATCTCGTACTGCACTGCAGGGATGTCAGAGCTCTTACTCAGGTGCCTGCAGATAGGTGCTGACAGGGACCCTCTAAGCCTGCAGCTCCTCACTGGCTTCTTGTGACTGATGTTATGAGGCTGCCAAATCCATCGTGTCAGAATTTCAGCACTTTTTTGAGCATGCTCCCGGGGATCCTGAGTGGTAGCACGGAGCACAAGGGATAGGCTGCTAGCCTGTCTGTTATTAATGAAGATGCAGATAAGTGCCAAAGGTACCAAAGGTAAAAAGTGTTATCACTTGTTTTTCAGGCTGCTTGTCAGTACCCTTAAAATCACAATTTCCATTGCTTATAATTTTCCAAATTTTATTTGAGTTAAATTTTCCTGTGGTAGAGGAATTAGTTGGGGGCGGGGGTGCGGGAGGGAATATGGGAGTGGAGGAGACTGCAAACAAAACAAGACAGCTCAAATCACTGAGCCATTTTCAAGAATCATAGAATGTTTTGGGATGAAAGGGACCTTAAGTATCACTTAATTCCAACCCCCCTGCCAGGGGCAGCAATGTCACTCATTAGATCAGGATGCTCAGGGCCCCATCCAATCTTGGCTTGAACACTTCTGGGGACTGGGAGATCATCTTGCAATATGAAAAAGTTCTGATGCCTTTTTTTTGGAGAGGATTAGGTTTTAGTAGATATGGGGAAGGTCATCTTGAAGATGTGGGAGCAAGGAGACTGGATCCAAGTCCCAGATAGGCAGCAGAGAACAGGGAGAGAGAAGAGGCAGGGCAGTCACCAAAGAGCAAGGTTGCAGAAGCAAAGCAAGAGTGACTAGAATAGGAGCTGGCAAAAGAAGCATTTAGCATGGGAAGGACAATTTGGTCTGGAAAATTATAACTTGGTGATGTCAGAACAGGGTAAGAAGATTGAGGTGAAGGACTGGGGACAAGAAGACCTCCAAGTGCTTACAAATGGGAAAATACTGGGAAAACAGTCTTAGTGAAGGACATTGAGCTTGGATGTTTTGTTCCCAGACATAATCTAAAGAGAGTCTGAAAACTCTGGGACTGGCTAATAAGAAGTAAGATGAAAAGTCAAAGTTGGGAAGATACATGTCTAAAATATTGGTACATTGAGGAGAAGGGAGAGGCTAATTGAGTTGGGAATAAAATCAATGTAGGAGTTGTAGCCCCAGTGTACAACTTTCCAAAGCCTGTGTGGACCTCAGAAGACTCTATTCCAGCAAGGCCTGAGAAACCTGCTGCAAAGGTCCCATAGTCTTCTAGACAGGCTCCAAGTTAGTACCATTAACAGTTACTCTTTTACCTCAAAGAACAAAATCCTGCATCATAGGCCTGAATTTTTCTGTTGCTGGGCTTGCATGGGTCTTTCAGGGTGAAGAGAGAGGTGAGAATCTTGACTCCATGATCAGAAGGCTGGATTTATTATTTTATGATATATATGTTACATTATGACTATACTAAAAGGAATAGAGAGAAAAGTCTCAGAATCTTGCTATGCTAAGAATAGAAAAGGAAGGAATAAACAAAAGAGCTCCCTCTGATTCTGTCCCAGAGAGAGCTCGGCCTTTGATTGGCCTTTAATTGTACACATGCAACATGGGCCAATCACAGGTGCACCTGTTGCATTCCACAGCAGCAGATAACCATTGTTTACATTCTTTTTCTGGGGCCTCAGCTTCCCAGAAGGAAAAATCTTAAAGAAAGGATTTTTCACAAAAGATGTCTCTGACATTTTTCTATCTAGGTACTATTATTGCATGACCTGATGATTTTTTCCACCTGGTTTTTCAATTTGTATTTGTATAACATAGCAATTCACCTCTAGACTGCAATATGGAACAATTTTAATGCTGCAGTCAGTCACCCAAAAGACCAGAAACCTAAAAAAAATTCTGTGAGGTTCACATGTGACTTTTAGCTCATCATATATAAGTGTTTAATAGTTCTTCATTTAAATCTAACATGAAGGCTGCTGTTCAATAGAAACCTTCAGACAACTGATTGTGTCCTGGAAGAAGAGAATGTCTTCTAAAAATGTCCTAAAATGTCAAAAATGCAATGGGCAGGCAAGATGACAAGCTCTCTGGCTCGATCTGTGTCTCCACTGTCTCTGAAAGATGACCAGTTTAACTTAGAAATGCCTAGTTTAGCTTGACAATAGCTTTTAGATGTCTCAGGCTAGATAATGTGAATTCAAATGACATGTCTCTGTATTTGTTTGTCTGATACGAGGCTGCAGTAAGACTTGTAGAAGTGCTGAAGTCCATCCCTCCGAGGGTTTGCAAGTGCAAATTCCCTCTTGCATTTTTGTGTCCTAAATAGCTTGAACACTATGGATCTGTGACTCATGAGTGCATTTGAAATTAATGAGACTCATGCCTTTAATGCAGTATACTATATAATTCAGTACTCTATAATACTATGGAAAAATGAAATCCTAATTATCTCAAACTTGCCAGCCAGGTTTAAAGAGCCTTTGTAGTCACTTTGTATAAAATGGCAGCAGTAGTCCCTAAAGGCTCTGTGGAGTCTGTTTAATTCCTGCAGCCACCATGGTTACTGACAGAATCTTAATATCACAGAAAGGTTTGGGATGGAATGGACCTTAAAAATCATCTAGGTCCGATTCCCCTGGCCATCAGAGCAGCATTTTGAAATCTTGTCTTGTTTTTGCTAAGAAAGGAAGCCATCAGAGTGTGCAGGCTGAGCAGAGAACAAATGATTTGTTGAAAAGCTGATCAATACCTTCTCATCACCTATTCTGAGCACTGAGAGAGGGAAGGGACTTGCGAAAAACAGGAGGTGGTGGTGCCATTGACTGCCATAATGCATATACACATGCAAGCTGAATTTAAGTTGTGTAGATAACCATCATCCTGGCATTTTTCTAACTTTCTAACGCTCACTCTCACAGTCTTTATAATGTGGTTTTGACACACAATTGTCTGTGAGTGTAAGACATTGTCTGTGGTGTATTCCAGCTGGAAATTTTGGCTAAGATCCTCCTCTTTTTAATTTCCCTCAAAAGCCTTTGTGCATGTCTTTATATGCCCAAACATAATATTCAAGGTATTATTCACCACCAAATTTATCAAAATATTCAATATGTTTCATATCAAGCAGAAAATGATGGGATACAATATTTGGTTTTGACATGAATGTAGATACATAGATACAGGTATCATACACAGGTAAAACTTTAAAAATAGGTAATTGAAAATTTTCTCTGATAGTCATAAATTTGTCATTTTTTAAGACCTTGAAGAACACTATCACAATGTTTTTAAAGCTGCATCCTCAATATTTTAATCACCTTCCTCTGCTCACATTTTTATTGATTTCTTTCCTGTTTGAGCTACAGCCACAGTCTCATTAGAAGACGTTGCCTTCCTGCACATCCTGGTATTCACAATAAGAAATACAGAATAGCAATAAGTGTGATATCACATTATTAATAATTTTTACTGTCTCATCTTTTAAATTTTCTCTTGGCATTTTTTTTCATTAGTATGCTTTAAGAATTACGCAGTTTCCACTTTCCAAGTTACTGATGTGGCTTTACTCTGTGAAACAGAAGTCTCTGGATAATTAGCATTTTGTTAGTCAGCCAAGTATCTCTCTGGCCTCCAGGCATTGCTGCAGCATGAGTATAAAAAAAGAGTCTGACATTTTTCCATTACATTTACCTTCCGTCTTCCTAAACTGGTTCTTTCTTCAAAATAGCAGTTCATATCATAACAAATTTGGGGATTTTTTTTGTTACTGAAATATTTCGTAGCTATAACAGACATTGTAAATTATTGTTGTTGTTTCTCTGTTTTTCACCCTTACAGAATTTATATTTATCTCTAGCTATATGTATACTGTAAAAATATATTGTGTATAAAACATACATTATATAGGAGAATATATATATATATTCTTACCATCCAAGAATACTGACATTTCATATATATATATACCATGAAATATATATGGAATTTTTGCATATGTATGAAGTACATATTAAATTAACTTTCACCTAAATATATATGGCCTAGTTGGAAACTGAAAAAATAGGAAATCTAAACTTTGTCAGATGTATTTTCTAAATAAAAATTGCAAAAAATATGTATTTTTAAATGGTGCTGTTATTAGAGGAAATTTAAAACACAAAATATTTTAAGAGCATTTTCCATCTGAAATGCAGAGCTAATCCTGGAAATTATTTCATTAGATATTCATTGTCTCAGTACTGCAAGAAATGTCTCATATTGTTGGCAAATACTCTGTAATAAAATATGGCTTCTCATGCACACCAAGTACCTTTCTGCTCAAAATAAATATTTTAAATACGTTGAAACTTATATATTTAA